AGGCCTTCCAGAACTCCAATCCTTCATCCAATTCCTTCCCTTTGTACATAAACATACCTAGTTTCATGTTGTGGAAGCCTTTGGACTTGAATCAGACCCATATTCCTCGAAATGAGCTCCAAAGTAGGCTTCACAAAACAGTTTCCAGACCATTTTCTGGCAGTTTTCCAGTTTTGAGGTAGCAACTTTGAGGCCTTGGAAAACAATCTTAATGACATCATCTGGATCCAAAAAGCATACCATTGGAAACATGGAAACTTTATGTGCAAAACAAACCCTTGATCTCCAATTTCCATTGATCCATTTGTGAGATACAAGCTTCCAAAGTAGGCTACCTGAAACTGTTTCAACACTTGGCCAAAAATCAGAATTCTTCAAGTGAGTTGGGATGACTTCTTTGGCAAGCAATTGTGAATTGTGGATTGATCCAATTGAGATCATATCAAACACTAGAGGGGTTACACTCTCGCTTGAATCATTTTTCAAGTCTGCTACCTTAGCATCATCCACCTTACTCTTAGTGCCAACCGAAAAGGTAATTCTCTCCTCACCATCCCTCAATATCAAAGTACTATCATTCACATCAATCAATGCCTTGCCGGTGGCAAGGAAAGGATGTCCAAGTACGAGTGGCATATCTGAGTCCTCATTAATATCAAGGATCACAAAGTCCGTCAGATAGAAGAATTTGTCAACTCTTACTAGTACGTTTTCCACTATACCCCTAGGACTAATAACGGAGTGATCGGCCAATGTGACACTATGCCTAGTAGCCTTTAGATCCCCTAGGTTAAACTTCCTAAAAAGTTAGTAAGGCATCACATTTATGCTTGCCCCTAAGTCCGCCAATGAGTTTGCTATGTGATGAATTCCAATGTATAGAGGGATAGTAAAACTACCTGGTTCCGGTTGCTTTTGAGGCAATTTGTTTTGGATGATCGCCGAGCAACCCTCGCCCAAAGTGACGGTCGAGAGGTCTTCAAGCTTGTGCTTCTTCTTGAGGAGCCCCTTTAGGTACTTTGTGTACCTCAGCATACAAGCCATTGCCTCCAAGAAGGGCATGGTAAGTTTGAGGTTCTTGAGAATGTCCATGAACTTCCCACACTATGCATCCAATTTGTGCTTATGAACCCTCATCGGGAAAGGAAGAGTGGGCTCATGCTCGGCCACCCTTGATGGCTTTGGCTGCACTTTCATAGCCTCTCCTTCCTAGGCTTCATGAGCATTAGCAATTGGAGGCGTCCTCTTCTTTCGGCTAATTCCTTAGCAAATACCTCCGGTATCACCTTTCCGCTCCTCAAAAGAATAGCGTTGCATCTGGCGTTTTGATCCTTAGGGTTGGCTATCATTTGAGAGGGGAGGGCTCCCCTTGGTCTCTCGCTGAGGATACTGGTAAGGTTGCCGATTTGAGTCTCTAAGTTTTGGAGACTCGCTTGGTGACTCCTTAGTCCTGCCTCAACCGAGGTAAACTTTTTAGTTGCCACATCCATGAATTGCTCGATCTTCTCGAACTTCTGAGAGCTCGTGCTAACAAGGGTGGTGACTAGATCTTCAAGCTTTGCAAACTTGTCTGGTTTTTGTTGTTGGAAGTGGAACCCTTGTCCACCTTGCACTTGGAATGGTTATTGTAAGTTCGAGCCTTGAAATTGCGGCCTTTGTTGAATGAAAGGAGGTTGGGGTTGATAATTTTCCGTCGGTCCTTGGAAACCGGGGGTCTTGGGTTTGTAGGAGAGGACCAAGAGAAATTGGGATGATTTCGACACCCCGGGTAGTAAGTGTTGCTATAGGGGTTGTTCCCTCTAACATTGGCAATGAAACTCACTTGCTCCTCGGGGGTGCTTGATTCCTTCATCAATTGACACTCTGAAATCTCGTGGTTGGTACTTGAACGCCAATCACCTTTTCCCATGCTTCTTGTTCTCAAGGAGTGCATCGATCAACCGATCAATATTAGCTTCAAGCGGAGGATTCGCCCTTACACTTTGCACTCCTCTTGCGGTGCTTCTCTTGTCACTTCTCGTAAAACCCCAATCATACCCTTTAATCTCCATGTCTTCGAGAAACTCGCTCACTTGGGGCGGAGTCATATTTATCAGTTTCCCTTGACATAGGGAGTCAATGAGAATCTTGTCATATTGGTGGAGACCGCCATAGAAGGTCTCAATCCGAAATTGCTCCTCGAATCCATGGTGTGGGCACTGGAGGAAGTAATCAGAGTACCTTCCCCGTGCATCCCTCAATGTCTCATCTTCCTCTTGCTCAAAGTGGGTGATCTTCTTGCGCCACTTAGCCGTCTTTGAAGTTGGGCAATATCGAGTCATGAACTTATTGAGCATGTCATCTCAAGAGGTGATTGAGAGGGTCGATCTATTACTGAGCCACCGAGACGCATTCCCCGCAAGAGAGTAGGGGAATAGCTTCAACTTCAAAGCATCCTCGAGGACACCATTGATCTTCAAACTTCCCGCAAGTTCAATGAACTTCTGAACATGCTCCCCTGGAGACTCATTGCTAAGCCCATGAAACAGTGCATTGTTTTGGATCATGGTGACGAGGGCGGGCTTGATCTCGAAATTGTTGGCTGAAACAACCCGACCTTTTTCAAAAATCAAACAATCACTCAAACCGAAAACCGGTTACTCCGGAGCAACCCAAACCAAATTATAAAATAAGCAAACTGTTAATGTTTAAGAATTTTAAACAAAAGCCATAACACTTGGGCAATCACAAACCAAATACTTAAAAAAACTTAATCCAAAATCTTGAACCTTGAACTTCTAGTATATACTCATAGTCACGAACAAAATACTCAAACCAACTCAAACCGGCTCTGATTCTAATTTGAAATTTCCATACTCGCTCCCAAAATAATCTCCTCGCTTCCAAGATTCCATAGGTACCGACGGTTCCTGGTTTGGACACGTCAAACGAACGAGTTATGGTCAAAAAAGAATTTTATCAAATTCCCAAGTACCAGGTACCAAATTGATAACATTTCAATCAACTCAGTTGACCCCACGTCTCTGTAAAATTACAGAACTAATCAACCAACTTTTCAAATTGCCCAGATGGTACCTGAACTATCTGATTCACGTCCCAAGCTTCACCGGCTCATTTCTTACTCTTTCGACGTCGAAATTCGATTCCGTGAAACCCGGGGTGCTCCTGAGATTGCCATCTATGAGATGGTGCCAAGGTTTTGAAGCTTGCCTGAGTTTGAGTACGCCGGGGTCGCCATCGAAGCTACGTTCATCACGTGAAACATTGGTTTAACCGGGATTTAAAAATCGGGCTTGATGCTATGGAGGTCGGAAACCTTACCTCGATAAATCCAGGTGAAATACCAATTTGGAGGGCGTTGGATCGTCCGTTGGCGCTATCGCCCGGTGGTGACCGCGCCTGAGAAGCAGGACGACTGGACGGCGTCAACTGCTGCTGCTTGCCGCTACGCTTGGACAGAAAAAGCCACGAGACCGGGGAGCTTCTTGCTCTGGATAGGTTTATCTCTATGCTGGTCTTCTCTCGGTTACTGGCAATAAAATTGAAGGGAAAATGATGATAACGGAAAGGAGATAGAGAGACAGAGGGAGAGAGGGGTAACGTTAAGTAGGAGGGGTTAATGGGAGGTGGGTTTTTGGGTTTATTATTTTTTTTTCTTTTCTTTCCTTTTTGTTGGTTGCTGCTGGCGAAACAAAATAGGTGGGAGGTGGGAATTATGATAATGCTAATAATATCAACAAATAGTTATTATTATTATCTCTAACTTACGGTTGAACCCTTCATATGTAACCTTCTACCGAATCATTCAATCCAACTTAGACCCAAATGGCGGGGTGTTACATTTCTTCCACCCCACTCACTTGTACGATACAACGCTGTATTTGAAGGAATTCTGCTAGTTGGGGTATAACATTTCCCTCCCCCTTAAGAAAAATTTTGACCTCGAAATTTGTTCATCGTGATGACTCAAAGTCTCACATGAGGTAATCCTTCTACTACAGGGAGTTATCTTTCCTTTCCTTTACTTTCCCAATCCCTTTATCGATGCTTGATTCTAGCTTGATATCCAAATCCAAGTCGGTAGCTCCTCGCCGTTCCTCCTCGAAGATTCTACTTACTTTCTCTGACATTTATTAGAACTCCCCTTGAACGTTCTTCTTTCCTATCGTTCCTTGCCTGGTTGGTGAATTTCCTTAGACAAGTTCCAGGATTCTGAGTCTTAACCTACCCTGGTCCGGCGATGATCCTTATGTCTCTTGTATTTTTGACCTCCCGTGGCTATCGGAATTTATAGGGTCTCTCGAATCCCTCCTCATTCTTTACACTATTTATCTTGATGGTGGTCTCCTTCTTCTCCAGGTCTTGTCGTTGGACCAATTCCCCAAATCCACTATCCCACGTGCCTCCTCCTCTCCTTGACGTATTGGTCCATTGAGATCTTGTTTGTCTCCCGATGACCACTTAATTCCTCATTTGCTTTGCCTATGCACCCCTAGAGTTGGTTAAAGTCTAACTTTTCACTGCGCCTTGTGGTCGTAGCACTAAGTTCGATTCCTGCGAACTCAACGGATCTTCCTTGCATCCTTTCATCTAGATGACGACCATCACTAAACTATCCTCTTAGGAATCTACTCCTTTTTCTTTTTGAGACGTATCAAAGTCACGCGGCCTAATAGATTGATTTTCCTAATCATGATTTGAGTATACTGGAGATTCTAAAATCCTTAAAAGAAACCCAAACTCGTTTGGCCAAACCTTTAACCTGACACCCCTTTTTCCTTTTCTTCAAAAACATAAACCTTGAAAAACACAGATCATCACTCCAGTATTCCTTGGAGACCAAGGAATAGAGGAGTGTCGGCTCTGATACCAAAATGAAACAACCTGACCTTTTTTAAAAACCAAACAATCACTCAAACAGAAAACTGGTTACTCTGGAGCAACCCAAACCAAATTATAAAATAAACAAACTGTTAATATTTAAGAATTTCAAACAAAAAGCCATAACACTTGGGCAATCACAAACCAAATACTTAAAACAACTTAGTCCAAAATCTTGAACATTGAACCTCCAGTATATATACTCATAGGCACGAACAAAATACTCAAACCAACTCTAACTCCTCACGAGCTCCTTGACTTCTTGTCAATGCTGGTATGGTTGCTCGCCTCGCCTTGCTTCTTCTCGGAAACCATGTATGTTAACCCTTCCTCAACCTGGTGAGTGAGAAGGGGCCAGTCTCGTCGTTACTTGTCTTTTCCCTAAGAAAACCCTTACTAAACACATTATCAGCGGGTGTTCTTTCTTAGAAGAAAGTCATTCTCGCTTTCATCCTTCAAACATAGTTACTTAATAGCTTATGGAATATCTTTACTCATAACCTTATCTTATAGAAGTGCTCTACTTCTATCCTCAACCCATACACATAAACACTAGGGACCAGAGCGTTACGTCTTGTCGTCCGGTTTCCTATCGTCAAGGCAATGGTACTGCGTTACGTATCGGTGTCCAGTCCATGCCTGGTCAACTACTGCGTTACATATCGCCGTCCAATAGTGACCCGACCATCTACCGCCTACAGTAGTGGCCCAACCGCCCGGGGGTTCATCTTACATACAAACATACATCACATACACATCACAACACGTGTCTCCACCTTAAGTAGGCGGTGGGATGCCTCACACACATAATCGCGCTTACTTTAAAATAACTAGCATAACTTGAAATTGAAAGAAAACGTAAACTAAAGACCTCGACGGAGATTTTACCTAGGGCTGGCATTTCGGTTAGTTCGATTATAACCGATAACCGAAATGTCGGTTACCGATTAACCGAGACAATGGATGTGACTACTGCCAACCGCCCGAAGAAAAGCTTCGGTTAGCCGGCAACCGACCGGTCGTTTATCGGTTAGTTGTTCGGTTAACCGAAGTAACCGCGGCATGCACCGGAAACCGGTTCTGACTGCCTAAGTCCATTCCTAATTCCTTCCACTGTGCACCCAATTAAGACCAAGAGAAACCACCATTGCCTAACCATATATATTTATATAACTAACTTCATTTTCATATCTACAATCGGTCATTTTCACAGCCAACAGATTGATTACACACAACCCATAAAACAAGATGAGAAACCACCATTGTCTAACCATATATATGTATATAACTAACTTACATAATTTAATGGCTACAGTAGAGGGGCACTGGTCGCCGTTTGGTAAATGGCGTCGGCGGACTGCTGGCTACGAATGGCGCCGGCGAGTAGAGGAGGCAGCTCGCGGGCTCGCGGCGGCGAAAGGAATGGGATGGCTGGCGGGCGGCGGCAATGGCGGAGGGTCTCGACTCTCGCCGTCTCGTGATGGCAAGCGGCAGCGTCAGGCGGTGCCGATAGGATGCTCTCGACTCCACTCTCGGCTCTCGGCCTCTCGCGATGCGCAGAAGAGATTGAGGGATTTGAGGGTCTGCTCGATTTAGGGATTTAAGGGTAGAGGCCTTAGGGAGAAATAGTCGGCGGCGTCGTTTTGCTTGAGGCCGGCTAGTTGTTCCGGTTAGTCGGTTAACCGGCACGACCAGGCTCGCTACTGCCAACCGCCCGCAGCCCCTTTTTCGATTATTCGGTTAACCGGTAACCGCCGATTATCGGTTTAACCGGCCGGTTAACCAGCAACCAATAACCGAATGGCCAGACCTAATTTTACCCCATTACACTCACTTCAAATCCGTCGAAACCGACTCTGATTCTACTCTGAAATTTCCATACTCGCTCACAAAATAATCTCCTCGCTTCCAAGATTCCATAGGTGCCGACGGTTCCTTGTTTAGACGTCAAACGAACGAGTTATGGCCAAAATAAGAATTCTGTAAGATTCCCAAGTACCAGGTACCAAATTGATAACTTTCTAGTCAACTCAGTTGACCCCACGTCTCTGTAAAATTACAGAAATAATCAACCAACCTTTCGAACTGCCCATAATGGTACCTGAACTATCCGATTCACGTCCCAGGCTTCCTAGCTTGTTTCTTACTCGTTCTATGTCGAAATTCGATTCCGTAAAACCCGGGGTGCTCCTAAGATTGCCCTCTATGAGATGGTGCCAAGGTTTCGAAGCTTGCCTGAGTTTGAGTATTTCCGGTTCGCCGTTGAAGCTATGTTCATCGCGTGAAACGTTGGTTTAACCAGGATTTAAAGATCGGGCTTGAGGATAGGGAGGTCGGGAACCTTACCTTAACAAATCCAGGTGAAACACCAATGTCGAGGGCCTTGGATCGTCCGCTGGCGCTATCGCCTGGTGGTGACCGCGCCGTAGGAGCAGGACGACTGGACGGCGTCGGCTATTGTTAGTCGCTACGCTTGGACAGAAAAATCCACGAGACTGGGGAGCTTCTTTCTCTGGACAGGTTTATCTCTGTGCTAGTCCTCTCTCTGTTACAGGCAATAAAATTGAAGGGAAAATGATGATAACGGAAAGGAGATAGAGAGACAGAGGGAGAGAGGGGTAACGTAAAGTGGGAGGGGTTAATGGGAGGTGGGTTTTGGGTTTATTAAAAAAAAATTCTTTTCCTTCCTTTTTTTTGGTTGCTGCTGGTGAAACAAAATAGGTGGGGGTGGAAATTATGATAATGATAATAATATAAAAAAATAGTTATTATTATGATCTCTAACCTACGGTTGAATCCTTCATATATAACCGTCTACCGAATCGTTCGGTCCAACCTAGACCCAAATGTCGGGGTGTTACATTGGCGGCCATGGGCGAATGTCAAATGGCGGGTTGAATATCCGCCTCCCGTGGGGCCATATAGTAGCATATAGTCTTCGGTTGCTCCTCGCGGACGCTCTAGCTTGAGCATGTTGATTAGCCGCCATATCAGCTTCACTTCCTTCCTCTTCAGAATCAAACTCTTCCTCAACTACAACTTCCACTTCGGGACCAACTTGTGATTGTCCCCTCTCTTCTATCATTCTTCTTGCCTCCGCTAGCTCCCTCTCACGAGCCAAGAGTCGGAGATTGCGGTTGAGATTCTCGTCAAGTGGCGCCAAAGGTGTAGGATTACTCCAGGTCATGTGCCTCCCTGCACACACTCAAAAGAACCACAACTTATCTAACACAAGCAAGATTCACAAACACAAAAGCGAAAAGTAAAAGCTAAATTAACACCAAACAACCTTTTTAAAATAACGGACCGTTTGGTTCCCCGGCAATGGCGCCAAAAACTTGACTCGTACCGAATATCACAATAAAACTCCCAATTAGGTCCCAAGTATAAACCTTAATTGGGTGCAATATAGGGCAAGTATGTTTAAATATTAACCCGGGTCGGTGCGTATACCCCTACTTCGATTGTTTGAAATACTATCTAATGATTGGTTGTTTAATTGAAAACTATGATATGCTATTAAAGCGGTTGTAAAAGTAATTGGTTTGGACTCTTAAATGAGAAGGATTCACTCGGGTGTAGCTCCGCCTAACTCGCTACCATGACTTGTCGAAATGACTGAAAATGTATGGTGGAGGTGATTGAGAACCACAAGGGAAGTGTAGCCAGTGATGGAACATCACTCTCTCGGTCTTTAGGCCAGGGAATTCGGATTAAGCTACCAATGTAGCTCTCTTGGCATAATCGATTAAGGACTAAAACAAACATTCACTCTCGAATTGGAATTCGGACAGTCAAAACACAATCAACCTAGGTGCCAACACAAAATGGGAGGGATGCCCTACATTAACCTATAGAGGAGATATGATTTGCTTAAGAAAACCAAGCTTTACAAGCCTCTTTAACAAAATGGGGTTTTCTCTCTACCTAAGTTAGAATGGCAAATAGATTGATAGGCAAACACACAACACAATCTTCCATGAAAATACCTCCAAATTTATATTAAAACACACCCACACATAGACAATCATTCCATACAATCAATCACATGGTAGAAGTTAGGGTTCACAAATAGCCAAGTGAAAAGGAAAACTACTTCATGCTAGGAGAGGGGAAAACACAAGGAGAAAGAAGAAAAACCATCATGAAGATGCTTAAATCCTTCCTTGTGTAGAAGAGATCTTCCTTTGGGGAAGATTTTCCCAAATCCTTGCCTTGGAGTGAAACCCTAGCTTCTTCTCTCTTCTTGCTCGCCACTTTCTCTCTCTAGAATGTTGAAGAAGAAGGTTTTCTCAGTCAAGTTCTCCTCACCCCTTTTTTCTTCAGCTCAAGCCTCCTTCTATATCGAGGTCGGGCTCAAATCACGGTCCCAGTTCATGGTAGTGAACTCAAGGCGGGGATCGTGATCTCAGGCCAAAACGCGTCGCTTCACTAATTCAGTTCACGTTCTTTGGCTTAGGTTCACGGTCATACGACCGTGAACTGACTTGAGTCCAGTGAGACCCAAAATGGCGCTGGGCGCCTGGCGTTTCATGGTTTCCTGCTCCAATTCATGGTCTTACTGACTGTGAACTCACTGCTTCCATCGTGATGTACTGTTGCCTCCATACTTTGACCCGATTTTGCGATTTTTCGTCCAACTTTCGACTTTGGGGTTGGTTCCACCTGCTATAGACTGAAATACATTAAAACGAGACAAACCCAGTGTAAAACCAAACCTCCCTTAGTATAAATGGCTCAGACGACTAAGGAAACCGGTGATAAAAAGTGTACAATTAAGCTCGAATCAGGGGAAATTTTTGTGGCTAAGAAGATGGCAAGAAGGAAAAGCAACCAAAAAAACAAAAGACCGCCAAAGTTTCATTTAATTATGAAATGGTCCACGGAATAGTGTTTTGAGAACAAAAATGATAAAACAAAGAAGCAAATCTTTCCCAAATAATTCGTCAAACTTTCACCAAATAGTCAATACAAGTAAAATTCGCTCCTGATCTAAAACTCATCAAATTCAGGTCCAATCCGCTTTGACCGGGTCAATTTTTTAGTTTTTTGGGTAAAATGATAAAACAAAATTTAAAAACAAAGAAACAAGCATTTCCCAACTAATCCTTTAAACTTTCATTAATTCGACAACATCGGGTCGAATTAGATCGAATACCATTTTGGATTTTGGGTCAATTGTCGCTAAAAGAAATAGTTAGAAAATCTAAAATTCGTCAACATCGAGTTCAACTCGCTTTAACCGGGTAGAATTAGGTCGAATTGTCATTGATTTAAGCGTGTAAACCTCGTTGTCGATCTAAACTTCCTCAACATTAATAATAAAAAGAAAAAATAATGAAAGTTTAAAACGAAAGCAAAGGAAAGTGGGGCGAGTTTTTAACAAATTCACACCAACCCAACCCGTCAATTACAAAAGCGTGCAAAACTCATTCTCGACCTAAAATTCGTTAACATTGAGTTCAGCTCGCTTTAATCAGATAGCAAAGGCAAGTAGTGCGAGTTTTTAATAAACTCAACATCGGGTACAACTTAATAATGAAAACAAAACAAGATAATGAAATTTTAAAACGATATCAAAGGCAAGTAAAGCAAGTTTTTAATAAAGTCGACACCGGGTATAACTCACTTTAACTGGGTCGACATTAGGTCGAACACCCATTGATTTAAACATGTAAAACTCATTGTCAATGTCGGGTCCAACTCACTTAATTATGAAAACAAAACAAAACAAAACAAAACAATAAAAGTTTAAAACAATAGCAAGGGCAAGTAGGGCAAGATGTTAATAAAGTCACAATAACACAACCCGACAATTACAAATAATGTAAAACTCATCCTCGACACAAAATTCGTTAACACCTGGTTCAACTTGTTTTAACTGGGTCGAATACCCATTGATTTGGGTTCAATTGTCATAATTCCACTAGGAAGCCAAAATTATTCTAAAAGTGTCATTGGTGTCATAAACTATTCAATATGAAAAATCTGGCATGAACTATATGCACTGTGTGACATTTGTGTTCTAAACTTACTCAATATGACAAACCTGGCACAAACCACATAGATGATGACTAGATTTTCCGATAAATACTTACGGTCTACGTCAGTCAACATTAACAAAAAATAGTTCATGTCAGATTTGTAGTATTGAATATTTTAGGACACAAATGACACTTTTTGAATAGTTTGGGCTTTCTAGTGGAAATAGCCCTAAGTTAATTCATTAGAATCTTAATGGCACAAAAACACCTTCACGCTTTGATTAATTACAAAATGAGCACCCCTTATGATGTGACTCTATGAAATAGTGATTTTGTTGCTTGTGTTGTTAAAGAGTTAATTAATATGACAAACCTGGCACAAACCACATAGATGTTGACTAGATTTTCCGATAAATACTAACAGTCTACGCCAGTCAACATTAACAAAAAAATAGTTGTTGTTAGATTTGTCATATTGAATAGTTTAGGACACAAATGACACTTTTTGAATAGTTTGGGCTTTCTAGTGGAATTAGCTCTAAGTTAATTCATTAAAACCTTAATGGCACGAAAACACCTTCAAGCTTTGATTAATTACAAAAAGAGCACCCCTTGTGATGTGACTCTATGAAATAATGATTTTGTTGCTTGTTATTTTTAAAGAGTTAATTAATATGACAAACCTGGCACAAACCACATAAATGTTGACTAGATTTTCCAATAAATACTAACAATCTACGCTAGTCAACATTAACAAAAAAATAGTTCATGCCAGATTTGTCATATTGAATAGTTTAGGACACAAATGACACTTTTTGAATAGTTTGGGCTTTCTAGTGGAATTAGCCCTAAGTTAATTCATTAGAACCTTAAGCCGCAAAAACACCTTCAAGCTTTGGTTAATTACAAAAAGATCACCCCTTGTGATGTGACTCTATGAAATAGTGATTTTGGTGCTTGTTCTTTTAAAGAGTTAATTAATATGATAGCACAAACCACATAGATGTTGACTAGATTTTCCGATAAATACTAACGATCTACGCCAGTCAACATTAGCAAAAAATAGTTCATGCCAGATTTGTCATATTGAATAGTTAAGGACACAAATGACACTTTTTGAATAGTTTGGGCTTTCTAGTGGAATTAGCCCTAAGTTAATTCATTAGAACCTTAAGGCACAAAAACACCTTCAAGCTTTGGTTAATTACAAAAAGAGCACCCCTTGTGATGTGACTCTATGAAATAGTGATTTTGTTGTTTGTTCTCTTAAAGAGTTAATTAATATGACAAACCTGGCACAAACCACATAGACGTTGACTAGATTTTCCGATAAATACTAATGATCTACGCCAGTCAACATTAACAAAAAATAGTTCATGCAAGATTTGTCATATTGAATAGTTTAGAACACAAATGACACTTTTTGAATAGTTTGGGCTTTCTAATGGAATAAGCCCTAAGTTAATTCATTAGAACATTAATGGCACAAAAACACCTTCAAGTTTTGGTTAATGACAAAAAGAGCACCCCTTGTGATGTGACTCTATGAAATAGTGGTTTTGTTGCTTGTTCTTTTAAAGAGTTATTAATTGCTCTTTTAATGAGGTAATAAGTTAATTCATTAGAACCTTAATGGCACAAAAACACCTTCAAGCTTTGGTTAATTACAAAAGAGCACCTCTTGTAATGTGACTTTATGAAATAGTGATTTTGTTACTTGTGCTTTTAAAGTTAATAATTAATTAACTATATCAAGTGAAGACTACACTGCTCCAATGTTCCTGTCAAGTGGCTCAGTTTGATGGTGTGATGAAGAACCAAATTGCTGCGATTCAAAAGGTTATAAATTTCTCAAGATGCTTGAAAGAGGACAACATTCCATGCCACATTGAAGATGTACAACCCAAAAAAATGCATCTCTCTATCTCTTAAATTCTAGTCTTACTGGCAATGCTTGTTCCTGCTTAATTCCTATAATCAAAGTTGTTCTTAGGCTCATTTAGTGCTGCTAACAACAAGAGTGTGTTGAAAAGCAACAACGCCACTCACGTATTAACTATTGCAAATTCCCTGGCTCCGGTTTATCCCAATGATTTCGTTTATAAGGGCATTGCAGGTGATGATCTTCTTAACTTTCCACTAGATATGTGCTTTATAGGAACTTCTAGGACTGAAACTCTTGTTTCCTTTTTCGTTTGGTGAGGGAAGTTGCTGATAGAGAAGATACCAATTTGAGACAGTACTTGGATGAATGCATCAATTTCGTCGACAAAGCCAAGAGACACGGTGGTGGTGTTTTGGTACATTGCTTTGTGGGAACGTCCAGGAGTTGATGATTTGACCACTTTTTTCCATGATCTCTAACGAATTGGATGCAATAATTTGGGAAAGGATCTCAACTGAACCTGACTCCTTCGTTCAGCTTATATAGCTGTAAATTGCAATTAAACCAAAATACGACAGGAGTCTCTACATCATAAGTTCAAATTAAATAAAACATTGTTGTTTAACGGCTAACTGTAAAATAAACTCTACGCTGCCGTTTCGCCTTAGCCAGACTCCACGACACCATTTCTTTCTTGTTCTCTTCTCTTCTTCTTTCAAGTCATGCTTAGACCAGTTTTGCATTTCTTCTTCTTCTTCTTCTGTACCAAGAGAGCACATCATCGGAACCTTCCTCTTCTCTTTTACTCTGTCATCCCCCTCAAGTTGGCGGTATCAACTTGATCCCCAACTTGACTAGAAGTTCCTTCAATCTGAAACGATCCAGGCCCTTTGTGAAAATGTTTGCGAGTTGCTCAAGTGTGTTGACATATTGCAGCTTGATCATTCCAACCTTCACTCTCTCCCTTGTAACATATATGTCGATTTCAATGTGCTTGATCCTTTCGTGAAAAACTAGATTTTCTGCTATATCAATGGGAAAATCTATTATCACAATAAATCACAATAGGTAAAGGTACCTGAATTGTCAACTCTGTCAGCAATCGTTTCAGCCATTCTACTTCACAAACCAAGTGAGCTAGTGCTATATACTCATCTTCTGAGGAATACCTTGAGACTGTGGTCTGTTTCTTTATTTTACAGGTGAGCAAAGAAGTTCCAAGAAAGTTGCAATACCCAGTGATAGAGCTTCTTGTGTCAGGGCAACTTGCCCAATCAGAGTCACTATAAGCTGTCATCTTCAACTCTGCTTCACTGCTGAAGTGTATGCCTTGATCTGTTCTGGTACTAACATAGTTGCTGAACAACAAAAAATATGTCAGGCCTTGTGATAGTTAAGTAATGCAATCTTCCTGCCAGTCTTCTATAAACTTCTGGGTCCTCCAGTGGTGTTCCCTTAGAACTCAATTTCACTTTGGTATCAATGGATGTTTTGCAACCTTTAGACTCTAGATTATCAGTGTCCTTTAATAACTCTATGCAGTATTTCCTTTGACATACATCCAGTCCATCTTGATTTCTGTTTACCTCTAAACCAAGGAAATATTTAAGAGGCCCCAACAACTTAATCTTTAACTATTTACTGAGGGAAGCCTTCAGTTGTCCTATGTCCTTCTGTGAATCTCCCCCCAGGATGATGTCATCCACATACACAAGCAACATTGTGATTTTCCCATGAATCTCCCCCCAGGATGATATCATCCACATACACAAGCAACATTGTGATTTTCCCATGAGTCCACTTAGTGAAGAGTGAGTAATCTGAGGCTGGCTGTGAAAACCCAAACTTCAGCAGGAACCCTGTCAACTTGGCAAACCACTGCCTGGAGGCCTGTTGAAGGCCATATAATGACTTCTTCAATCTGCAGGTCATCCTTTGGCCACTGCTTGAGGGAACTTCTAAACCAAGGGGAATCTTCATATAAACAACTTCATCCAAATCTCCATGCAGAAAAGCATTTGAGACATCTAACTGTTCCAATACCTAGTGCTTCATACTTGCCACTTCTAAGAAAGTCTTAACTGTGTTAATCTTTGCCACAGGTGAATAAGTATCAAGAAAGTCTATCCCATATACTTGTGTGTAACCTTTAGCCACTAACCTGGCTTTGTTCCTCTCAATTGATCCATCAGGATTCAATATTATCTTGTAGACCCATTTATTCCCTATCTCATTTGCTCCTGGTGGCAAGGGCACTATATCCCAAGTCTGATTTTCCTCAATTGCATGCATTTTTGTTTTCATTTATCTATTCCAAACATCATATTGAACTGCCTCATAGTAGGTCCTAGGCTCAGTTTGGTTTAAAACATTGAGGGCATAACATTTATCCTCTTGGCTTAAAGCATCAATAGTTAAACAAAGTGGATACCTGGTACCAGCATTTGTCTTGCCAAAAGCTCCAAACTTGAGAGAGGAGTCCAGTTTGTAATCTGCATACTTGCTTGGTAGAGTTACATGCCTTGGAGGTCTGCCTGTGACTAGTACATTAGTCTCATCCAGGTCAACATCAACTTGTGGATGCAGTTCCTACTCATCATAATCAAAATAAGTATAATGACTATCAGTTGATGGAGTAGGGACAACTGGTGTCATCTCTTGCTCAGTATTCCCCCTTTCATCCTTGGATGAATCTGAATGAGGAGGAGATATAGAAGACCCAGGTGGAACAATAGAGTATGGGACATGGATAGGAGGAGTTGGGATTGGAACAGAAACAAGAGGGAATGAAGAAGCCTCTGGTGGAGTAGGTGATCGTTGTTGATCAGACACTTTAAAAGGGATAATGTTTTCATAAAATGAGACATCTCGAAATATGAAAACCTTCTTTTAATGGATATCCAAAACATTGTAGCCTTTGATCCCAACTAGTAGGGCTGGAAGTTTGGTACCGGTATTTGGGATATACCGAATACTGTATCAAATTTTTTTATATTTGGTATTACCGAATACACGTATTATTTCGTGGGATTGGGATTAGGATTGAATTTCAATTTTTATTCGGTATTAGAGATTACGGGATTGGGATCGGTATATACCGAAATACCGATCAATACCGAAGTATAAGCTAGTGTGTATTTTATCCTCTCAACTACACTATATCATTCACTACTATGCGACCCTCAACCACCAAGAGTGCCATTTAATTATACATAAATCATTACATCACTATTTCAAACTAGTATTAGTCGTCTCTCAATCTCAAATTTGTCAAATTAAAAATTATCAAGTACAAGAACTTGAGATGTTAGCTCTAGGCAACTCAAGACTCTTTGCTTAGTCTCTTTGCCATAAATTAAACAATAAAATCTAATTTATATATTTAATTATTAATTGCAAAGGTAATTAATTTTTTATTCGATAATACCAATTGGGATACCGAGGTATCGATTGGGATACCAAAATATTTAGGGATTGGAATTGGGATACCGAAATTATTTAGGGAATGAGATTGGGATTGATTTTAGGGTGTAATTCGATATTCGGGATTTTAGTATTTGGTATTGGGATACCTATACCGTACCGATTTCCACCCCTACCAACTGCCATCCCTAAGAACACACAATGTCTTGCTCGTGGGGCAAACTTTGTCCTGCCATGAGCTAAGGTGTTGGCATAACACAAACATCCAAACACCTTCATTTATCAGAAAGAAAAAGTAAGGAAAAAGGATAGTCACGTGTAAGTTTACTAACTGAGATGAGGTTGAAGGAATAATTTGGGACTAAGAGAACATCATGCAATGTTAAACCACATGACAATTAAACTGTGCCCACAAAGGTAACTATGACTTTGGTACAGTTGGGAAGGTAAACAAAGGTGTCCTTAACTGGTCTATAGTGACAAAATAGGTTCAGGTTACAAGCAATATGGTATGATGTACCAGTGTCAACTATCCATAAACTATGGTCATTAGTTTTGCTATTCTGAAAATATGACAAAACTTGTTTACCTGAAAAGTTTGGTAGGGAGTTAGGGTATAGAGATGCTGAGTAGGCTTGATGGTTAATGAATGGGGAGGTGGGTGATGAAGGACTATTGTTAGCACCAGTTTGCAGTAAGTACCTGAGTCTTGTCATTTCCTCTAGTGTAAATGCAAGTGGAACCTGGTTCTTACCTTCATTAAGCACACTGAACATTCCCTGCTAATTCCTTGTGATATGGATCCAGCAAACCTTGGACTACTGAGTTAGAATTGGAACTTGAGTGAGATCCTCCATTACCCCATTCTCTTTATGCATCTCTTGTTTTCTCTTCAGGTTCCAATAATCTTCAATAGTGTGATTGTTCATCTTGCAAAACCTACAAAACTTCCTTTTCCTGCCCTCTCCAGAGTCCTTTTGATTATCACTGTAGACACCACATTTTTTCCGGGATAATCGTTTTATTGAAAATAATTATTAACATCGTACTACGATTATATTTAAAAAAGGAAACTGAAGATAGTTTGGTTGAGACTAGCCGTTGCAAGTCAATATGAATCAACAATTATCAAATTTGCTCCTAGTCGATTCTAGGGCATAATTAGTTAAGATAGGATAGGTTTAAGTTAAGATTAGCAGTGGCAAATCTTAAATATAAATTCTCGAGTTTGGATTTGGATTCGGTATTTGAAATGAGACAAATTGAATAGTGGAATGAGCTTTATTATCGTACAACTTAGGTAATGACTTCTAAATAAAGCAAGAATTACAATTAATTACAATGACTAATGCTAACTCTACAAAATTTGGGGCACCAATCATATCAAGACTAGGTCTTTTTGCTATTTCTTTGGGCCGAAAGCGAAACCAACCTGCAAAAGAAAAGAAAAACCAGTCAGTTCTCAAACTAAAGCCCAAAGGGCAAGTCCAACTCGGCCCAAAACCAAACAGGCCCAACTCGGCCCAACAAAAACCAACCATAAACCGACCTTGACTAATTCGGTCTGACCATATCTTATCCAGCCAACCAGGCACACTCTTCAAAGTAAAAAAAAAAATGAACGAATGATATAGTGACACGTGGCGGTTTGGTATGCTTTAAATGAGCTCTTTGTCTATACTCTGAGAGATCTGGAGATTACAAAAGAAAGAGGAGTATTCTCAAGCAAGAATTGCACCAGGTTAGCCTAGTAACTACTAGTCTTTACATAATCAAATTTTGCTTCGTACTTGAATTCCTTCCTTTCCAATTACATCTTTAGTGTCAATCTGTCATACTATCTTATCTGTTTACTCATTTCCATTCAAGCGGTTTATGTATTTAAGTTTGTTATTGTTGTTTCCCATCTACTAGTATTGATTAGACACTACATATTCAGATTATGCTTAAATTTATTTAAGCGTTTTCTATCTATGGTGGTTATTATAGTGGTTAATCGCTTTCCCTCTAAAACTACCATTTGTGCCACATATCCATAAATGCATAGAAATTCCATATCCATCCTACCATATCCATAAACACATATAAATTCCATACCCGTCATACCATAACCAAACCCAAATATTAGAACACCACGAAATCGACAAGGTCGTATGAATAATCCAAAACCCTTTTTTCATTTTGAAACCTTATAAATTAGTACGGATTCAGATCCAACCAAAATCTCTCTAGCATAATAAACTTCACATTCACAAATCAACTATCAACCATAGTTCAGTAAAATCACAAGCAATAAACGCATTTTAGAGTTCATAATCTACCCAAAATCATAAGCAGTAGCAATGATTTATAGTACCCAGTCTAGCAAATCACGGGTAGAGGTCGTGATTTGCAATCGCCAAAACTAACAATTTGGAGTATGTTAATTAAATTTCTAGTTCAGAAAACTTTTCTTTTCTAACTTTTTTTTCCGGTAAGTTATCTTTACCATTAAAGCTCACTCTTTGCTTTAACCAGCACAAGAGATCGAAAAAACACACAGGCAAAGAGCCCACATCAGTCCTTTACAAGGAAAATACCAAACAAAACAAAAACTCCTACACTGCTAAACAGCTACAACAAGAAACAGTTTTGCTCAAGAGGAGTTGGAATTCAGGTCGTGCCACAGTGTACAGCCTAATATCCTCCTTGAGCTGCTCTGCCAATACACCAGCAGCATACTGGTGTTCACCAAAAACCCTTCTACATCTTTCCTTCCAAACCGCACTAATATACCAACACCAGATCAAAGCTTCAATCACACCACAGAAAAGATGATCCCGAGACTCCTTTGCTGCCCTGCAAAACACACAGGTGCTATCATTAACAACCCCCCATTTTTTGAGCTTGTCTCTGGTAGGGAGTCGATCCATGATAATCAGCCAGACCTGAACACTATTCCTAGGAACCCCAAATTTGTTCCAAACAACTTTCCACCAGTCAACACAAGGCTGCCTCCTCCTGATAGTGTCCCATACAATAGAGACTGAGTATTTATCCATCCGCCTTCCCAGCCAAGTCACATAGCCATGCACCCCATCCATTCTAAATCGTAACCAGGGTCTGACCTTCAACACTTGCTTCCAAATCCAGGAACCAGACTGTGTTATTCTCACTTCCCAAATAGATACCCCTCAAGAGTATCTAGAGCTAGATCTAATACCACAGATCAAATCCACCAATAATTATAATTCCAGAATACACACAACCAATTTTTTTAGTATTCAGGTTCACAAATCATTTAGTCTATAGCCATATAATCCAAAAAAATTTAGTTAAATTTCTCAAGAGTCTTAGTAGACCTCACCTAGACTTCTTTGCTCCCAAAACCTGCAATAAATCAAGTTCGATAGTCAGAGTCCTTCAAGTTTAAAAACACGAAAAAAAACTCAGAAAACAAACTTACCCAAATCGCCTATGTGCCTCTAGCGGTCCACTTTCTGTCACCGCCGGCGAAAATAAACTCGTCGCCGTTGACTCCCCGTCGCTGCGTAGTAGATCCGAAGCCGAAAATAGAAAAACCAAATCAAAACACAAAAAATATAACAAAATCATATTCCCAAATAAAGTAGACCGATAAACCAAAATGAAAAAGATCAAATCCGAGCCTACCGATTAATCGCCCCTCGGTCTGAAGGTCTCCTCCTGGCTTTCTTCCCCCCTCGCACAAACAATAACAAAAACAAAAAAAAAAAAACTAATCAGAATTCTTTTTTTAAGTAGAAACCCAGAAAAAACCTACATGCAAGGTAAGAATCTTACCCAAATCGTTTTTTTTTTTGTCGATCTGAAGCCTGAGGGTCGTCGACCTCCCTTTCCCCTCGCATAAAAATCAAAAATCCAGAAAAATAAGTAGAAACCCAATCATAATCCAAAAAATAGAAACCAAAAAGCATGCATGTCGAGTTTACCTGGATCAACTCCGCTTTCAAGGTCGATTAGGATACCCGGCTAGATTTGTGTGGCCGACCGCGGTCGAGACACGAGAGGATTAGAGAGGAGAGACGAGAGGAGTCCCTCGAGAGAGAGAGAGGGAAAGACCAAAATCGGGTCTTCTCTAATACATCGAATCAAATCTCCTTTTAATAACTGAAATCCTTATATTATATTTTCATAATTTCATAATATCAACTTAAGTATTATTAGCAATAAATTTTGATACGAAAACCACGATCAGCGGAACGTGATAATAATTTTATTTAAAATTATCAAAGTCCAAACGAACTACGTGGACTTTGATCCTGTGTTACAGATACGTAGGCAACCGATAAGATTCGAGTCCAACTAATCAACTAACCTTATCTTTAATTTTACATCGACGGGCGTATAATTAAATTACAACTAGTACGATTTAATTTATTTAGTGGTGCAGTAAGGCCCTAAAAATACCTAAAATACCTAATCGTAAACTAATACGTCAATGGACGTTTAGTCAAATTATACCATTTGAAATAGCAATATAGTAATGGTCCATTGGTACCCCAAAAATATAAAATTATTACTAAAATACACCCAACACATATAAAAACTTATCAACTTAAGTAGTACCGATTTAAGGCGTTGTGGGGTGTGATTTCACTTCCTCACACGTAACCGTACTCCCGAACTCGAATCTCTTAACCGCAGACCATATGTCGGTTCTGACCCTGAGATTAGATATGATTCGAAGAGTGTTCGATCCACTCCAAGTAAGATCGATGGCGACTCCCAAAAATGCCAACGCGACCACGACGACATCGGACCCCCGGAGGGACGGTTGCGACAACCACCACCATTACTACCACCCACTGCCAAGGCCAGAGTTTGACCCTTCTTTCCTCCCATTGTTGCATCAACCTTTAACTTCTGCTCATGCTGCAATAGATCATCCACTGCAGCAGAAACTGTTGGTAGGGGCTTTTGCAACAATAGTTGTGTCTTGATGACCTCATAATTAGGATTAATTCCCCTTTAGAAACTTAATCAGATAGTTTGTTTCCTGCTTTTGCACAAAAGCAGCAACAGCTGCACATGGAATGGGGTTTCCAGGTGCACAGTTGCAAGGAGTAATAGGAGAAAACTCAACATATTCATTCCACAACCCTTTTATTTCTGTGTAGCATTGGTTGATTGTTCTAGAACCTTGTTTACACGCTTGAATCTCATCCTCTAAATAGGCAATCCTCAGGACATTAGCTTGGCCAAACCGCCTCTTGAGTTCACCCCACAAAGCCTTGGAGCTACTATGATTCAGTACAGATCTTCTAAGCTCTTTAGTCATGGGATTTTGAAGCCAACATGGGACAACCGTGTTACAAGCATCCCATATACCAAACAGATCTAAGTCCCTAGGAGGAATGAGAATTGACCCATCTACAAAACCAACTTTGTTCTTTGTTTTCAACACCACAAGCATAGATCTACTCCATACCACATAGTTGGTACCATCGAAAGGTTCTGCAACCAAGGACTGAGCCATGTTCTCATTTGGGTTAAGGTAGTAGGGGTTACCGAAAACAATGGTCTCTGGTTGCATCTGGTTCTGGTCAAATGTGCCAAATCTGAAACTGGTAGTTGATGTTGTTCCACTTCCGCTGCTGCCATTGTTCGGCGTTCGTGATCCTGTTGGAGTCTGTTGGAGTCCCTAGAGTTCTCACAGCCAATGTAGTCAAAATCGCGCTTTAAAACTTAAAAACTTACGATTTTACGTTTCTAGGTCACTAAAACACTTCTACACAAAATCTTAGTTTTTATAACTTGTGCAGTTAAAAACTCCGCTTTAAAACTTAAAAACTTACGATTTTACGCTTCTAGATCACCAAAACGTTTCTACGTAGAAACTCGCTTTTGACTACATTGCTCACAGCTCTGATACCATAACGAATTGTATGCAATAGTTTTAGTTTCGAACAATACGATTCAAGATCATTCGGGCTCTTCTTTTTTTCCCAGTGCCACCATTGTTTTTGCCTACCCGATGAAGAAGCATGGGATGCAAGTATCTCAAGCTCTAGAACATGTGAAGTCGAGGATACCTCAAGCATTTCCGAATTCTGGCTTCGTCTTGCAGCTTCAAGAGTATGAGCGATCTCTTCAAGGTTCATCGTCCTGATAAGTATGGGTTTGGATGATCTCTGCAGAATTGGAAAAGCTTGTTCTGACACAATGAGGCGGCATATTAGGGTCCGGATCCTGTGACTAAGGGGGGTGCTTAGTCACTTAACTAAGCCCCTCCCAACCCTTAGATCTGGACACATCAATCTGACGGTTAAAAAGTGGGAAGGGCTATTTTATTAATGACAGGGGTAGTTTGGGTATTATGAAAAATTATGAAGTATACAAACCGGACTTACAATCAATACAAACCATACAAGCAGTACAAACTACAACGACAAAACATACAAACAGATATACAAACATTACAAACGTATGAACTGTACAAACTGGACCGACAAACAATACAAACCATACAAAAGAGAAAAAACAATCGGGTTGACTTTGGAGGCTCCATCCCTATATAGAGGGATCCGTCCCAAAGTCAGCCCGATGTTTTTTTAGACATACAAACATTACGAACATGGTGGACAAAAATGACAAACTAAATCGACAATCCATACAAACTGGAAACAACACCCGGGTTCACTTTGGAGGCTCCATCCCTATATAGAGGAGTTCCATCCAAAAGTCAACCAGGTTTTAGACATAAAAAACATTACAAACATGGTTGACAAAAATGATAAGCATGATGCACAAAAATAACAAAGCTTACAAACATTACAAAATAACAAACCGTAGAAACATTACAAAAAAAAATGACAAACAGTACAAATCATACTAACTGTACAAAATGTCACTAAAAATAACAAGAATGATAAACGAAACAAGCCGAATCGATACAAACATTACAAAATAGGTCAAAAAACATCAAAAATCCAACATTGTTGCCGGGAAATCCTTCTCCGTCGTCGCTAGTCGTCGGAAAGTCTCTCTGGTCGGCGGAAAATTATCCTCCGATATCTCTCTCCAAAGTGGGGCTAAAGTGGGGAGATTGCAAGATAAAGCTAGCCTCCTTCGTCGGAGAATTCCCCAGCAAAGAACCCGCGGCGGGAGGATGAAGGGACAACTGTGATGTTTTATTTATTTTAAGTGTTAAATAATTAAATTATGTAATTACCACCTTATCCTTCATTAAACTAGATAAATTTGAACCATTAGATTTTAATGAGTTTCAGTGGTTGAGATTGGCTTAGTCATGTGACTAAGGGACCCCCTTAGTCACCTGCTTAGCCCGACATATTAAGGTTGCAGAAGTATTGGGGGAGATTGAAGAGAGATTAACAGACCGTTTGGTAACAAATGAATAAAGAATTAATTTCATTATAAAATAAATTACCGTGTAGAATTCATTGTCAAATAAAATCTTGTGTTTGGTATGTCATATTCAAATCTTTAGAAATAAAATGAATTGCATTGTAGAATTCATTGTCAAATGAATACTTGTGTTTGGTATGCCATATGTATAAGTAATTTAGTTAATAAAAGAGGATAATTATGTCATTCGATTATAATTAGTAAATACTTGTGGAATTCATTTGGAAATTCAATCTCAATTCCTCAGAATTGCTATAACTAGTTCCAATTCCATAGAATTCAAATTTTAGAATTGAAAATGAATTATTTTAAATATCAAACGCAAAAATGTTTCATTTCCAAATGAATTCCTCAAAATTTATAGAATTCATTTATACCAAACGGTATGTAAAATTACTGTTGGGGATAATACTCACATTAGAGTATGTTGATTTTTTTTTTTTTTTGCCAAACGATCACTCTTAAAAAGAGGTAAGAACCGATCCCGGGTTACAAAGAACCCATCGACTATTGGATGTAGGCCAATACTACGGTCTCGCTGTTAAATATGGGGCACCAATGTAGCCAATTCCTATCATTCAACGTGGCAATAGCAGAATTATAAACCAACTCAAATGGAGCATACTCAAACTCGGTTGAATCCTTTCGCAACCGCCCAACTGACCAGAAATTCGTTTATCATTTTAGGTTTTGGTAAAATGTTCAATCTATTTTTTTATATAATTTTTTACGGTGAGAGGTTGAAAAGAAATACAGAGAATTGTGTCTTCTCTCTCAACCTCTCCCTTCGTCAAGGTCAAACTAAGCACCAACAATTCCGACAAACCTTTGAGCCGCCGATTCAATCTCCTATACCAACGTCTTCCTACTCCTAGAATTCTTCTGTAACATAAAATAATTGCATATTCGAATCCCTCGTTCCGCCGGTTCTCCTCTTTGTCGAATTGCTCTACTGCCCAACAGAAGGGGCGACCTGCTTCAACCAAGTCAAGCTCGGGTCGTGCGTCGCGGTGGCTTGATGAGATATGAATCAGCATTTTGCCGATGTTGGATCTGATTAAACGCCTTGGAAATAAGGATGGAGTTCCTCACTGCGCCACCGTCGACCAATGCGGTTTCCTGTTAGTTATCTTCATTCCTGCTACTTGATACAATTAACCATTGACCCAACACTGAAAAAAGGAACATGCCCAAAAGATCAAGATCATCGCTTTAGATAGAGATGAGAGAAGAAGGGATTTGTTCCTGCAAATTCTTTTTTTTTACATAAGAAATCTGGGAGGAAGAAGACAGTGAGGCGACATTTGGGATTTTTTTCTTATTGACAAAAACAAAATAAATTTAATTTTATTGTTATCATGAATAAAAAGTTAAAATAAAACGGAAAGAAATATTCTTGGTCAGCTTGGATGCACCCGACATGGAGTAGGTTCATGGACAATGGGTTTTGGGTAGAGCTGTCAAAATTGAATCCGACTCGACTAACTCATCCGAGCCACAATCCGTCCGTAACTCGATTTGACAAAAAGTCAACTATCCGAAACTCGCCCGTAACCCAAAACCAATTGATCTGTAATCCGATCAACTCATAATTCGATGAACTCGTTATCCGATCCAACCCATCTATAACCCGAATGATTCATAACCCAAATAACCCGAATAACCCATTTGACCCGAATGCTTGTACAAAAATTCAATGTATACATTATTATATTTTTAAATTTATCAAGAAAGAACGGTTGTTCTCATAATAATTGAAAATTATTTGTAGAATTGATGGTATAAATTGAGGTTTTTTCTTAAATATTTAATTTTTAAAATAATAATAATATATGAAATATCTTTTCATTCATTTTTTATTTTATGAAATTCAAAGGATAAATTTTTGAAGATAATAGGAAGAGTTGGACACAAATTCGTATCTGCACCACCCATAACTATATTAAAAAAAACAACCCTTGAAAATCAATGAAATTCCCAAAATCAATGATCCCTATCAAGATATATAAGTGCATAGTTTACCCTTTTTACTTCATTCTCAACTTTTTGTTGATTTTATTTATTTTTTATAAATTAAGAAATCGACGATTCGAACTAGATGATAATATCATATTTGAGCGAACCCTTGTTCGACCCATGAGTTTTAGGATGAGATGTTACCGTGAATATATAAAAATTGTGAAGATATATAAGTGGGTGATTCGTAATGATGTTCATAAGTCTTCGTGGAAATAAAGAGACACACATCTAGTTCATACTATATTTAATTAAGACGATTCATTTCGAGATATATAAGCATATAGTCTACCTTTTATTTATATTTAATTTTTATACTAACATAATGGATATTTAATTTGTATGTGTAAAATATTATCATATTATCATTTTCTTAAATTTTGTGTCATTACCTACAATTTATATTCATATATTGGTAGTATGTAAAACATTATTTTCTGTCAAGAAGTAAATGATCGAATGGGTTGACCCGAATAACCCATAATCGACCTGACCAAACCCGAATGAACCCGCAATCCAATAAACACGTAATTTGATGCACCCGTAACCCGACCCGATCCGTAACCTAATTGACCAGTGACCTTATTGACTCGTAGCCCAATTGACCTGAAACCCAATTACACTCGATCCAAATTGAAACCGACCCGATTGAACTCGCAACTCGATTGAACCCAACCCGGTTAGACCCAATCCAAACCCGACCCAACCCGCCCAATTGACACCTCTAGTTTTGGGCAGGCTTTTCACAAATTCAACCATCGCCTCATCAGCTTCCCACCGCCAACGTGGACCAATAAGAGTTGGCTGCACCGGTGCCGCACTTTTAATAGCGGCACCATAGTATTGGCCTATTTCTAATGGGCTTTTTGTTATGGATAACTTTAATATGGGCTCTAATTAAGTAAAAGTAAGGCCCTTGGGCCCGTCGTTGAAACTTTATTGATCTTAGCTGAGCCCGCCGTAACTCTTAACCGGTAATTACTAATTACTCGTCGTCGATCCAAGTTTGAACTTCCACCAAGTCCAAAATCAGGATCGGCTCGCCATTTGCAACCGCAGCTGCCGCCGCTCCTCCTTTTCTTCGCTGATTCTTTCCTCATCGGAATTTCGCCGACAAGTGGCAAACAACCTTTCTCCCGACTGCCGCACCTCTTTCTGAATAAAAATTGGTTAATCGCTTCGTCGGATCCAAGGTTTCGTTTTCCGGTCTTTGGTTTTCCAACAATGCGGGAGTGATACGCCGACTGCCATTTGCTTGTCCAATTTCTGATGGGATTCGTGTGTGGTTTTCCTTTCTTGTAGGCGGATTGTCTTCTCATCGCGATGGATCAGTCCTCTGATTGTCCAATCACGAGCTTTCCGGTTCAACCAGTTGGTAACAATGGAACTGAACCCTCTCAGGAACTGTGCCAAATTGAAGAGGTAACCCTGAATTCAGACTGGTGTGAACTTTTCTTTCTTTACAAACAAATTTCTTCTTTCAGTGTGTGAATTATGGGTTATGTGGGGATGCTTCTGCATTAGGGTCTGTTCTTGGGTTCAATTACGGAAGCAACTATGAAGGATGCACTCAAACAAGCCAATGTAACTCACATTTTAACCATCGCCAGCTTCCTTCCATCGTTTCCAGAAGATTTTCAGTACAAGGTCGTCAATAGTATGTGCAAGAACTTTACCACCCTTTCTTCTCAATGGTTTTGTTATAGGGTGAGGGTGTATATGGCTAATTGAATTGAACAAAGCAAAGCTTTCTCACTGTTTACATCCAAGTTACCGTCTTTGAAACAGAAATGTAAGTTTCACTATGCAGGAACCTTAATTTTGCATTGGTATTTCTTCAGTTTCGGACAGCCTAAATACCAACATTGCTCAGCACTTTGATGAATGTTTCGATTTCATCGATGAATCTAAACGAATTGGTGGTGGTGTGCTCGTACATTGCTTCATGGGAGTTTCCAGAAGGTGAGAGATTTCAGTCAGGGCACAATAGTGAACAAGTGTCTTGTTTGAAGCTACTGGGGTTACCCTTCTTTTGTGCCATAATGGTCGATGTTATGTGCAAGTAGCTGGTGTCTGCAAATCATTTTTAGCAACGCAATTGCATAACGAATTTGCATAAAGCAGTTAGCTGTTCTGTTTTGCAGTGTGACTATTGTTGCTGCCTACCTGATAAAGAAGCGGCATATGAGCTTATCCCAAGCCTTGCGACATGTTCAGAGTAGGCGCCCTCAGGCTTCTCCCAATCCCGGATTCATATCACAGCTGCGGTATTTTGAACAGAAACTTAAAGGTGAACCTTGAAACACGCAAATTGTCTTCATGTCATTTCCATTTGTGGACTAGCCACCCTGCCAGTTTCACCAAACAAAGGCTTTGGTTCGCTTAGTTCCTAGCTACACCTGCTTCAGCTATGATTTAAAGAGTGCTTATGAAGCTCAGTTTATTGCCCTAGGTAATCTCCTGAGATTTAATAGCTTACTAGAGAAAGACACATTAGACAACTTTCTGCGCTTGGTTAACTACTATTTCTTCCGAGTCAAAAGTTGTTGAGACTTGAGAGCATTTGCTATAAGACTACACGCTGTGAGGATCTCTGATAACCTTTTTGTCCATGGAATGGAAGTGATACTTATGGAGTAGATTATCTATTAGTAATTGATGCTGCCCAATTTAGACAGATTGCATATTATTCTGACTTGCCATGCGATATTGTTTGAATGCTGACTGATCACTTCTATCTGTATATATGCTTTTTTCACTTGCTGCACCGAAGAAGGTGAGAACGCAAAGGGGCAGAGGATCTAGATAGTGGCTTTGGAAAGAAACCGGCATACCAATTGTTCTGTAGGAGCAGGCGTTACATCTGTGTTCCTGAGATTTAAGTGGCAACATGGTTGCACAAAAACAAGTTTTTTACGAATTTTACCAGAACCACATTGACTAAAGAGTTAGTGAACGAATGCTGAACATGAGTAAGCTCTTTGGTTGTTATGTCTCGTTCATCAAGAAGCGAGCCGAGAGGTCTTTCTGCTCATTTGCTGCTGAGTTCTTGTTGAGGTTTCCGGACTTTTTTGTCTTCCAAATGTGTAACAATGTGATCTTGAAATTGTACAAGGCTGAAGTGTATTTATTTCCACTATTTTATCAATCAGTTCCACCCAAAATTTTAAATAATATATAGGATATTATATGGATCAGACTGCTATACTATACGATACTCCGAGTAATCAACGCCAACAAGCCAATGAAACTTGCATCCCGCCAACGATGAAAAGGCAATGGTTCTTGGTACATAAAACAGTGCATTCTGGCTTTCAAAAACAAAAATTACATCGCATTCTGGGTACTGTGAACTTTCTGCAATTTTATCGGGCAACACTTCCTGATTGCATCCATAGTTAGAGCTAGGGATGGAAATGGGTGTGTCGTGTGGATTTTTTTTTTTTTTAACAAAAGATATATATTAATCAACCAAAGAAGATAGTTACATCCTGGAACGCAGCCAGGCCTGGAAATCGAAAACACCACAATCAGCCGGGTACATTGAAAGGGCCTTCCTAGCCACCAAATGGGCTACCCTATTACTACACCGACCTATAAAACGAATACTCAAACCCGGGTGAGCGGTAAACAATTGCACCATCTCAATCAGAACAGCCCCCACCCTATTATCCTCAGTCTCCCTACGCCGAATTTTATCGATAATCACCTTCGCATCCCCCTCAAAGCAAACCTCAGTAAACCCTCGAGTAAGACACCACCGCACCGCCTCCCGAAGCGCCAGAATCTCAGCAACTAACGGATCCTCGATAATCGGAAACTGGACACCTTGAGCCAAGAGGATCCCATCTCCTGAACAAAGCACAACCATTCCCCCCGCAGCATGTGAGCCTGCTCTTGTCGCCCCATCCCACCTACACACCACCCCTTGCCCCCTTTGGGAAACTAGGGGGTACTGCGAGGTAGCCCCAGCCAAGTGAGGGGGAGGGTCCGCAGGCAACCGCTCCCATTCCTCACATTGCTGATGAAACTGGCGCATAAGAGACAAGAACCCAAACTGCTTTCTCTCAAACACCACCCAATTACGGGACTTCCAAATCCGCCAGAGGACAGCAATCACCGCCATGAACAGCGAAGGCTGGTGAATCAGGGACATGAGCCGTTTAAGAAAAAGAGGAAAAGTTTGCCTCGGAAGCCCCTCGCCCAAGTACTCCAACCCAGAATAATCCCACATTGCCCTCGCCACCGGGCAATAGAGGAAGAGATGCTCCATAGTCTCCACACCATCCCAGCAAACTGGGCAACGAGGACTTACCGGAACCCTCTTATCAGCAAGGGCCTCCAACGTGGGGAGAATGCGATTAAAGATCTGCCAGGCGAAAATCTTTAACTTAGGCGGAATATTAGCCTCCCACAATCGGATCCAACTACTCTTATCCATCCAGCTAACCATATCACGCCAGCAACCGGAACGTTTATCCATAGTGACCGCCAGATGGTAAGCAGATTTAACAGTGAAAATCCCATCCGCTGTGGCATGCCAAATTAGTTTATCCTCCACCTCCTGACTAGGGAGGGGGATCGCTCGAATAGCCCTACAAGTAGCCGGGTCAAACCATTGGCATAAGCTTTCCATACACCAGCTTCCTCCACCTTGGCACATGACCTCCGCCACCCGAGGACCCCGACCCTCCCCCACCACCCGAGGGTTAAAAACTGGCGGATCAGGGTGCAGCCCAGGTATCCAACTAGCGTGCAGAAGAGGAGCTGTTCTCCCATTCCCAATCTGCCAGCGCAAACCAGCCTCCAGAAGCTGCCGACCATAGAGAATACTAGTCCATCCCCACGAGGGCCTAGATCGCGCCTTGGCCTCAAGGAACGTCCCCTGAGGAAAGTATTTCCCCTTGTACACCTGCGCTAGTAGGGACTGGGGCTCCGTCAAGATATGCCACCCAATTTTCGCGAGGAGGGCTTGATTAAATTGCTCAAACCGTCGAAACCCCAACCCACCCTCATGCTTACTTCGACAGAGATTTCGCCAAGACATCCAATGGATCTTCGGCTGCCCCTCTGACATCCCCCACCAAAAACGGGCCACATGTTTATCCAGGATCCTGCAGAGGGACAGAGGAAGCTTAAAACAGGACATCACGTGTAACGGCAGCGCCATAGCCACTGCCTTAATCAGCGTTTCCTTAGCTGCCCAGGACAGGGTTCGCTGCTTCCACCCCTGCAGTTTCTCCAATAATTTATCCTCCAAGTATCGGAAAGTTGCCATCTTTGATCGAGCAATTAGCGTAGGCAACCCCAAATACTTATCATGTACCCCTATCGCCCCAACTCCTAAGACCTGGGCCAAGAATTCCTGATCTGGCATCGTAATATTTTTGCTAAAGCAAACCGCAGACTTAGCCAGATTGACCCTTTGCCCACTTAGTTCCTCGTACTCATTCAACACCTCAATCAGGTTTTCACATTCCTGGAGGGACCCTCGCAGGAACAGGTACGAGTCATCAGCGAAGAACAGATGCGAAATCCGAGGGGCGCGCGGAGCAACTTTCACTCCTTCTAATCTCTTTTCCGATATAGCCTTACGAAGTAGCGCTGCAAACCCCTCCGTACAAATAACGAACAGAAGAGGAGAGAGCGGGTCCCCCTGCCTCAGCCCCCTAGAAGGGGCAAAGAAGCCAGCCGGAGTGCCATTCATAAGGACTGAGAAAGAGGAAGAGCGCAAACACTCCTGAATCCATCCTCGCCAGACAGCATTGAACCCCATTTTTTCAAGAACCGCTAGCAGAAACGGCCATTCAACTCTGTCATAGGCCTTTTCCATGTCAACCTTCAGAGCCATATACCCTTTCTTACCACGGTTCTTGATTTTTAAATAGTGCATCAATTCATGCCCCAGGAGGATATTTTCCACAATCTGTCTCTCACGAATAAAAGCATTTTGCCCCTCCGAAATAATCACTGGTAAAATGTCAGCCAGCCGAGCAGCCATGATTTTAGAAATGATTTTATACACAAACTGGCAAAGGCTGATGGGCCGTAATTGCCTCATTGTTTCCACATTCTCCACCTTCGGGATCAGGGTTAACCACGTATGATTAAAACTGCGGAGCATCCTACTTGTCGCAAAGAAGGATATCACCGCCTCAATCACCGAATTACCCACAATATCCCAGAAGGTCTTGAAGAATTTCCCAGTGAATCCGTCAGATCCAGGCGCCTGCTTGGATCCCATGGCGAAAACCGTGCGGCGAACTTCCTCCGGAGAGACAGGGCCAGTAAGGCTGGCATTCATCTCCTGAGTAACAGATTTATTAATTGGGAGCGCCTCCACCCTCGCAGCCATATTCGGAACTTGGCTTTCAGAGGTGAACAAATGCTGATAAAAAGAACACGCAATGTCGGCTTTCCCATTCTCCTCCGTTACCCATTCGCCTGTCTCCGACCGGAGTCCATGCACAAAATTCCTTTTACGCCTAGTACGCGTGACAATGTGAAAGTAGGCCGAGTTCTTGTCCCCTCTTTTCAACCATCTGACTCTGGACTTCTGTTGCCAGTACAATTCCTCCGCCTCCCATTGGCGGCTAAGCTCTGCCTCCAGCCTTCGAATATCATCCCAATTAATCGGGTGAATGGCTTTTAAATGCTCAATTTCAGTTTGGAGCGTTCGAATATTTCTCAAAGAGTTTGTCGTCCCCGCCCTGCTCCAATCATATAAAAGGTGACGAAGCTTCTTCAACCGCTCCCAGAGTTGGTACATCGGGGTACCATGGAAGGGTTCGTTCCAAACATATTTCACCATAGCTCTAACCTCAGGATTCTCCGCCCAACGGGCATCGAACCGGAAGAGGGGGCGACTTTGTCTGGTGTAAGGCTTATCCGCTAAAAGCAACGCACGGTGATCCGATCCCTGATCCGTAAAATGTTTAACAATGGTTTCAGGAAATTTTTCAATCCACCCCGGCGAGCACAAAGCACGGTCCAGCCGTTCCCGAATACAGGCATCCCCCATCCGTTTGTTAGTCCAAGTGAAAAGGTCACCTTGGTATCCAGGATCATGTAGGCCAAGATTCTGAACAAAAGAACGCAGGGCAACGGACTGGGAGGCATTCCACGGATTACCACCATCCTTTTCATGATCATGTAGAGTACCATTGAAATCTCCTATCACCACGAATGGCAAATGGGCCCCATCACAAATCGCACGGAGTTGGGCCAGCTGATTAGAGCGAATATGAGCTTGACAGCTGATATAAACACAAAAAACGATATACTGAGAATCAATTTCATTAATTTGCAGGCCAATACAAAAATTTGACTGAAAAAACACCGAAGCATTAACTTCGGGGGACCAAGCTACAACTAACCCACCCGATGCATCAACAGCATCAACAAAGAAACAATGATCAACAGAAAAACCCAAACCCCTAATACGGCGCGAGACAACACGCCGGCCTGATCGAGTCTCTGAGAAGAACACAATATCCGGTTTATTCGAACGAACTAAACCTACAGCAGTTTGGAATGTGAGTGATGGTCCAATTCCCCTCACATTCCAGGCCAACAGCCTCATTTATCCGGGTGGGGCCACTCACGGCTGGCTTCCTCCACCGATTCTATCATTTCCTTTTCCTCCACAAATTGTTTTTTAGGTGTGGGGGACTCCTCCAGGCCCCCTTCCACCTCAATCAAAGGCCTCTTCCGAATCCCAATCACCGGATCCAAGAGGTTCGTACCATACTCATCCAAAGTAGAGCTTGATGTGCCCCCTACACCCGCGGAGGGCCCCCCCAACTTCACAACCGCTGGGGAGTCACCCTCCGTCGCAAAATGCAGGCCTGATTCAAAAGCATCAACAACCTGGCGGACACATCCCTTCACAATTCCATCACAGCGAGCCCCACCAGCTTTTGGACCACGTCTTTTTATTTCAAAAGCTTCAGCATCATCCGCCGAAAAGGACTCAAAAGACGCCGTCTCTTCCAGGGCGCCTCCATCAATGGGCGCAGCAGCATTTTCCGACTCCTTGTCGTGGAGCATCGAGGCCAAAGGGGCCTTGTCTTGCTTTCTAGAGCTGGTTACTCTCTTCCGAGTACCCCCAGCCACCACATTTTTCTTCTTGGACAAATTTTTGCTCCCTTTAGCCGCCTTCCCCTTCTGACCTTGCTTCCCTTCCACCATCGCAT